AAACGTCTTTCAAAGAAAAAACAAGAAAGTACTGCTGTCCTTTGAAAAAGAAACTTTGGAACCCTCCAGCAGAATGTTTTAAAACATTTGTTTGCCACTCTAAAAAAATTTCCGCAGATCATTTCTCTCCCCACACCCCACCCCAAAAAACACTTCCCTACAGGAAAAGTATCCATGGCTATTCAAAAAAGTCAAAACAATGCTCATCGCTGTTTGATCAAAAATGTGCTCCTTTTTCTGGGTATCGCAAAGCACGTAAATGAGGACAGGGTTTCAATTACACAATTATGGCTGCCATCTTGACTTTTTTGACCCTGCTATCCATACCCTCAAAGTAACAGGTGTACTTTATGGGAAAGTTTGTAAGTCCCATTAGGAACCTTGGGACATTTTTATAAGCAGATGATGTTGAAAATCGAAGCTTTGCTTTACTTGGCAGCATGTCATTTTACTGTTTCTTTTCTTTTTCAATCTGATTTTTTTTAAAAGCACAACTCAAATAAGGAGAGATCTTAACCATCTTCAAGGGGGTTAGATGTGGGCACTTTGGTATGCCCAGTGCAGAGGTGGGTTTCTCGCCCCGTTCCAACCGGTTCGGTTGGAACGGGNATCATGGGATATTCCAGCAGTGTCCCAAGTGCAACCCAATTGCCAAGAATTTGAAGTGCAGTCACATGACTGAAGGGGCAAGTAAAGCAGCCATTATAACTTTGAATATAGACTGGAAATATCCCTAGGTAGGTTTGTCATAACTTCAAACAGCTGCTTGTTGTAAACTTATAGCTTACCAGTTGTAAATCAAGCTTTACCTGTAAATTTAAATTGCTTATGAGAAAAACATTACATTTGCAATTAGTTTTATCTGCAGTACTTGATAAAGACTTTTGAACCAGGTTCTGAGGTTCAGCAGCTGAAATCTTAAAACATATCTATTTTGTTACGTGATATTTTAAAATATGATGTGTGTGTTTATAAATACACAAATGCATGTAAGGGCATGTATTTATAAATATGTATGATTGAAATAGATAATTATTTTTAAACATCAGCATTCAACACTTTTTACAATTTAATCTAAAACAAAAAGTCATAATGCAATGGAAGATAAATTCTCCTCTGTGGGGGATCCCAAATAAAACTCCCAGAATATCCAGATAAAGTTGGGAAAGCTGCTTGAAATATTGGAATGCTGTAGTCATAATGCAGAATGCTAGGTTTGATGAACCTCAGATCCGATTTGGGGTTTGTATGTGCTATGGCCATCCCTTTAACAATGAAGACAAAATTCATGCACCATATTAGACGCTAACAATTATTTAAAGTGCAAACTTATTACTGCACATTATTATTTATGACACCGTTGAAAATTAATCCAAACATTTTGAATAAACTTCCTCTAGTTTATACCTGAAACACACCAGGAACAGTTCAAAAGTTTATTATTCCAGTACAAGTATATGGCAAATTTTACCATCCAGAAAACAAAACATTGTTTCTGAGTCAGGTTAAATGCACTGTGCACCATGTTTACTATTTTCTTGCCTGAAGTAATAAAAGTAACATTTCATAAAGATGGGAGCATACAATAGTTTAGAAGCCAAATTATCCATTTGAGGAAATGTTTTAAAACTCAGCAATTGATGCTTCTAGCGTTAAGAGATCGATTGAAGTACAATGCGCAGACTTCTCACTCAAGGAAAATACAGAGATATTTCCTTCAAAATATCCATGTTTAAATATATAAAAACTGTAATACAGAATCTTCTGCAAATCTGGACTATATCTAGATATTAGAGAATACCCACGTATTAAATACATTTGGCATATACAGAAATTCAAAAGTAAAGGCTTAAATTTAAGGGACACTTGTCTTATTAAGACATCAAGTCAATAGGAACATTCAATGATTGTTCTCTAGTTTAACTTAAATATAAGGTTGCAATAATAAAATATGTATGTACTATACCCAGAGGTGGGTTGCCTATTTTTTTGCTACTGGTTTGGGCATGTGCGCATGTGCATGAGTGTCTGGGCAGGTAGGCGGAGCCTCAGAACTGGCAGCAACCCACCTCTTACTATACCCGTTTAAAATGTGTGCTATTATCACTAGAATAGTGTTTCTCAAACTTGACGACTTTAAGATGTGTGGACTTCAACTCCCAGAACTCCCCAGCCAGGTATGGAAAAGTCCAAATATCTTAAAGCTTCCAAGTTTGAAAAACATTGCAGCAAAGGCACAAATGACCAAGATCAAATTATCATACTTTAGATACATTATGCAAATATGTAACTGTGTGGAGAAGTCTGTTAATGCAAGGGGAAGTGGAAGGAAATAGAAAAGGACCACAGAAGCAAAGTGTATGAACTAAATTAAGAGTGGTCATGAGTGCACTATGGAAGACCTAAAGGAATAGATTAGTAAACATAGGCTGGACCACATTAACCCTAAATACAGTTGGTTGGATTATAATCTAGCAACCAGTATGAACTCAGATACTTCAGTTTTATAATCCATGTTTTATTTGCTGTCCAAACCCAGTCAACTTTGACTTTATATAACAAACCACCATTAAAGCATGGTCCAGTGAGATGCCTAAATCAGGTCATTGATCGTCTCTCAATTTAACTTTATTTCCCAATCTGGTCTTCTCTCAATATGGTGGGGATTGCAACGCCTAGAATTCATTATCATGCTGGCAGAATTGCCTGTCAGAATTTTGGAATTGTAATTTTGATGCATTTATGACACATTGGTGAGGGATTAATTTACCTATTTTAGAATAGAAAGTCATTTGTGTGTCTCTCATTGGATGAAAACATACACTGCTTTTCATAATTTTGTATAGTGAAGAGCAGAATTCCTTCTTGTGCTTCAACAAGCAGCCTGACGTTTCTGTCAGCAGGTCCTCCAAGCCTATCTTTTTCCTGGAAATCAATTTTCCTTTTCATAACAAGATTATGATTATTGAACTTTGTGTGATGGTTCAGTACACTAACACATACCTCTAAATAACTATTTACACTTGATTTTTCAGGTTCAAGGGTCACATTTCATTTTCTTCAGTAGCCATCCCCCATCCTTTTGACTTTGTCCACAAACTTTTTATTCTACTTCACTATCTCTGCACTAAAGTCCATGAATTTGGACAAGGAACATGGTAACAAAACAAAATAAAAAAATACATTTATACTTTCAGAGTAGAACTTTCCACTCAGAAAGGCAGAAAGGAGCACATTAGCTCCAAATATTTCATGCCATTGTGTGTTGTCTACCCTAAAACCATCCTCCACTTTTTCAGCAAAATGGAAGGACCTAGAAGTAAACAATCTCCAGGGTGAAAATTTGCAGGCAAATATAATCAGCCCAAGGAAAGTTACAGGATTTCATCAATGTTGCTTTCTTTCTTTCTCAACACATCCTTGGTATCAGAACTGCAAAAATTAATAAACATCGAAACAAGCTTCTACAAGCCAGAAAGGCAAGTTAGATTGTATGATTAAGAGCAACTGTCCTAGACAAACTGCTCCTACACTTTTAACACTTAAAGGAACAGCCCATTCACTGGTTGCTTGTGTTTCCAGGAGATAACCATGTAAATGAGAGCCCCATCTCCAGAGTGGCTTACCATTTGCCCTTCCCTTCTCAAGAGACAAATAGTCTTGCACATGGGCTGCTTTTCTAAAAATGCAGGGGGAAAAATACTATTCCTGTGTTAAACTTGGCCTACACTATAACCAAAGCAAAGGGGTTCTTTTTCTCCAATAATCCCCCCACTTTAGAAATAGTTGTCCAACTCATGTGTTGCTAGTGTTTATGTTTAACTAAAATGAGGTGGGAGCACAGAATTTCTTCAAACACAAAGAAACCTCCACCAAACACGGTTCTCCCTAAAAAGCATGTGGACTCCATGATTGTTTAATGTTTATTTTCCAGCTTCACCACCACCACCACTTTCCCCCCCACCTTGGGCCTGGACTGGCTTAGAAAGCCTGGGGCTGGATTTGAAATCGTGCAGGAATTACCACCCGAAGAAGAAACTTGCACACCGGGAACGGAGTGGAGGAAAAGAGCAGGCTAAAAGTGCGTGCGTGTTACGACCGCGGTCGCATGTTGTGCAAAGCTATGGTCGTCTTTGGTACCGATGCAGTAGAGCACCGTACAGATCCCAACGTTCACTGCGAGGAGACCGACGAAGAGCTTAATCCCACCCGTGATCTGGCCGGGAAGAGAAAGGCACGAGAGGCTCCCCAAAGCTTCGGGGACGAGTGGAGAGGCAAGTCAGCGGGAGGAGGAGGAAAGCTACAGGCCTGCTGGCGGGGCACTTGCGGGTTTCCCCGGCACCTAAACAACAAAGAGTTGAGGCCCCAGACGTCACCCGCGACCCTTCGCAACTGTGTATCTCTCTCCGCCCGGTCTCGGAAACAAATCTCGGCTTGCTCCACAAAGCGGATGGAACTACGCACCCGACCACACCAACCCCTGGCGGAGAGCTGCGGGTTTCCTCGCCCGCGCTCTCGGCTGGCTTCCCAGCCGGCTGAAAGCTACAGGAGCTCGGCGGCGACGCTGGAAAGTTTACCGAGGTGAAAGGGAGGGAAGCGAGGAAGCGGCCGCAGCTCTCCCAACTCTCTTTTCCCCGCTTCCTCAGGGAGCTTTTTCACCTCTGGCTCGCGCGTCCCACAAACGCGCCCAAAAGATCGGCGGGGCGAGGGAGGAGAGGAGAGTCCCTCGGCGGTCCCTCTCCTCGCGCCCGCCAAGCGATCAGCCTGAAGCCCCTTCAGCCACCACTTTTCCTCTCCTGCCTTGCCTCCCTCCCCCTTCCAGGAAGCGCCATATTGATCCCAGGCGCCCTCGTTCACTCCCTCACTCCCTCCCTCCTCCTCCGGCTGCGCCTTCTTCGCCTCTCTCTCTCTCTAACCCATCGCTCCTCAACCAGGCGCTCGCCCCCTCCCTCCGACAGCGGGTGCCTCCGCCGCGGCCCCGGGGAGCGTTCCCAACTCACCTTGGCGATTGCCTTCCTGTACCTGGTGAGAGCTTGTTCGATCAGACTCAAAACTTTCATGTTCCCGTCCCCGCAGGGCACGACCACCCGGGTCCTGCCGAAACAAACGGTGACTTTCATCTTTTTTTGAAATCTGCCTCCAGACACGGCCCTCCAAGAGAAGCGATTGAACGACGCTCTCCACCCGAATCTGCTTTGGCCGGTCACGGGAGGTTGATCTTTGGGGGGCCGTTTGCTCTTGCTGGGCCACCAGCGCCAAGCGGGAGCCCGGCCCGAGGGCGGGCGCCTCACGCTGCGGCAACCAAAGAGGCAGAATCGTGCCGCTATTCCGGAGGACTGGACGACGGGTTCACATGCTGCGGGCCGGGAAGGGGAGGGAGCCGACAGCGCTACGCACGCCTGCTCGCTGCTCGTCTGCTGCCTTCCTGGCGCGCCCGCAACTGCCTGTGGCCACCTGTTCGGCGTCTCTCCTGAGCGCAGCCAGGCGGCGGCTCTCACTCCCTTCGCCTCACTCATGTTGCAGAAAAAGGGCGGATTGTCTCCCCGCCAAGGCTATGCCCGGTATTGCTTTTATTGCCTCGTTTCCCCCCACGCCCACTACCTGGGAGCCTGATTAAAGAGCCCTTCCGTTGTAAAATCAATTAACTCAGGGAGCGGGGGGAAATTGTTCACTCTTCTTAAGCGTTTGTTTTCTTTCCCCTAGCAGCTCCATAAAGTTAATCCCGTTTCGGTGGGTTCCTTGCTTTGCTACGAAGTTTTACCCCATCCCCTCAAACTTAAGTCTTGCAAGCATCCTTAAAGGCCACGACAATTCCATGCCATCTTAATTTAAAAGGAAAAAGTCCCACAAAGGTTAGGCTACATTTTCAGGGCACACGAATTTCCCAAGCACAAAATAGCCCCCAGTTTACAACTATTTGCTTAGTGGCCACCTGAAGTTACAGGTCACTGAAAAAAAGAGTGATGCATGACCATTTTTCACACTTATGACCATTCAGCATTCCATGGTTACATAAGCAAAAATTCAGATGCTTGGCAACTGGCATGTATCTATGATGGTTGCAGTGACACAGGATCATCTCCTTTTGGGACCTGATAAGCAAAGTGGGTGGAGAAGCCAGATTCACTGAATCTCGAATCTACAGCACAGTCCTTTAAGAAATTCCAAGAAGGCTCCACACCAACTCAGGTGCAAATGATGACACAGATAAGCCTCCGGGTGACCTTGAAACACTCTAAAAGAATTCAAATGTCCAGCTGCCTGCAATGAGTATAAATCCTTCCATTCTCTACCACCCAGGCACAGCTGAAGAAGCTTCTTGTATGAGAAGCAAAATGTCTTCAAAGAAGAACCATAAAGTCCACTTGCCTTTTGAAAAACATTTTTGGGACAACTGTGACTGAGAACCTCCATAGACAGATTCACTGAACTATGTTATTGATTTAACAACTGCAGTGATTTGCTGAACAGCAGTGATCATAAAATGGGGCAAAACTCACTTAAACAACTATCTTGCTTGACCATATAAATTTTGGCATCAACTATGTTAAGTAAATTGGGCATTCCTGTAGCCAGCCATCCATCCAGATTTCAGCCTAGAGCAGTGATGGCTAACCATTTCCGACCGAGTGCCCAAAGCACATGCACCCAAACTCCCAAAATTCAATGTGTGCCCTGGGCATGCGCCCCACACCTCCACATGCACCCCACACCCCCATGCATGCACATGCCCCTTGCATATGCACCACATGCCCACCAGCCCCCTATGCATGCACACCCAGCTGCACTTGTGCATGTGGTGCCCTGCACACGCCCCCCACATGCGCAGCAGAGACCCAAAGACCAGCTGGCTGGTGGGAGGCACACACACATGTGCAGCAGAGTTGAACTGGGGTGATGGCTTGCATACCCACAAAGAGGGTGCTGCATGCCCCTTGTGGCATCCGTACTATAGATTCTCCATCATAGGCCTGGAGTATTGGGCAAACCTAGTTTATATGACTAATCTCTCCTGCAAAACTGGGGTAAATGGGTGGTCCAGGATTAATCCTGAATAAATCTGCCATCTGAACAAAGTAAAGATTGTGATTTAGTAAACATTACTCAGTTGTAGACCATAAAATACACAACGGGCACGGTCCAGGGTACTAGTGCATCTAGTTTAGCAGTATTATTGAAGATACAAGGCTCTAAACCTGAACAAGTTAAAATGGGATTGAAATCCTCTTTATGCCAGAGAAGCCCTGATGTGGGCTTTTATTCCCTAAACAAGAGCATTTAAGATTATTCCATTTTCTTGAGTGAGTTGAGTCTTTGGAATAAGCATGATGGGATGCCTTGAACGGAGGGTTGGACTAGAAGACCTTTGAGGACCTTTCCAGTCCTATGATTCTATGTTCTATGAAGAGCATCACTTTGCAGAGGAGGTACCCAGGTTATGCTACCTAACAGAGTTGTGATTGTGGAGAAAATAGGAAGAGGATGGAGTAGTAAGTACAGGTAGTCTCAACTCACAACCACAATCGAGCCCAAAATTTCTATTGTTAAGTGGGTTTTGCTCCATTTTACAACCTTTATTGTGACAGTCATTAAGTGAATCACTACAGTTAAGCTAGTAACATGGTTCTAGAGTGAATTTAGCTTTTCCAGTAACTTTGCTTGCCAGAAGGTTGCAAAAGGTGTTCCCATGACTCTGGGACACTGCAGCTATCATAAATATGTGCCAGTTGCCCTGGATCCAAATTTTGATCATGTGACTATGGGGATGCTTCAACTCTGAGTATGACAAACAACCGCAGGTCATTTTTTTCAATACTACTTTAACCCTTGAAAGGTTGTACAAAGAATGATTGTAAGTCAAGAGCTACCTTTATGTTCTTTGTCTTGAATTCCTTATGAAAGGATAAAGGCAGGATAAAAAAAATCTAATAAATAAGCTCTGATGAAAGAGCTTAATTTCTCTGCAAAACTGAGAGTAGAAGTTTTGAACCTTCATGGGGGGACAGAGTAGTCGACTTTTTAGTAGTTGGAGCAACTTTGGAATTAGTTGTGTTGTTTTCCCACAACAGTTACAATCCCTCATCTACACCAGAATATCATCCCTTCATCAGAATGCCTATGGAGATTCTCAGCCGTCCAGGTTTAGTTTAGTTTAGTTTTAGTTTTATTATTATTTATAGGCCTTTTCCCTGAGGGGACTCAGGGCGGCTTACAAAATATAGGGAGGGTGGTACAAAACAGTAAACATAAAACAATACA